GGCTCGGCCTCCCGCGCGCCACCCCGCCGCTGCCCTGCCTAGTCCGCGCGCACCCAGGTCCCCCTCGACGACACGCGCTGCCCGGGCTCCACCGAAGGCCAGGAACGCCTGCCTCGGAGAGCATTTCGCACACCACAGCAGCTCTGTGCGTGGGGAGAAGGACGAGGAGGTGCCGGTCCCCAGCATCGCAAAGCCCGCGATGGAGAAGCCACTGGCCGCCCTCCCTCAGCCAGGTGCCCGGCTCCCCACGCCCCTCTGGAGGCGGCTAACGCTTCCCTTCTGCGCCTTGACACCTATCCCCCCAGTACTGGGGTCCGGTCAGGGGTCCTCTCAGCTACACCCTCGGCTCTTTTTTATTTTGCAGCAGTGTCTGGCTCAGTTACTATACTGCCCAGGCGGAGCTTGAACTTGCGATCCTCCTGCCTCTGCCCACGGGGTGCTGGGATTACAGGGGTGCACCGCCACGCCCAGCTGTGCCACTGGGCATTTAGTGAAGTCATTGCTCACTCATGGGAACACTATGCCAGGGGCCACGCCACTCACAGCTTCAGGCCATGTGCACGTATGACAGGCAGGGGGCCCAGGTGGAGGTGAGGGGCACGGGGACACTGCAGGCTGGGGTTGCTGAGATCGGCTTTCTAGGCGTGGCCTGTCACCAGGCTCTAAGTGGCCGTGTTTCTCAAGCACCCCGCCTCCAGGGTTGGGGTCTCTGAGGCCCTCTGGGGGGTCTCTGGGCTCAGCGCCCCCCCCTCCCTCCAGGAAAGGGGAGCCGAACACAGACCCGAGGTTCCCGTGAAGGCACTGCTGTTGCTCGGCGGCCGCTCCAGGTCAGCGAGCAGCTCGTCCGGGTCGGGGTCGGGGTTGGGGTCCGGGCCCGGGTCCGGGTCCGGGTCCGGGTCCAGGTCGGGATCGTGCTCGCTGGCTGGTGGCCTCTCGGGCTCCTTCCCGCTGAGGTCGAGCACAGCGGTGGGCCCCCGCAGGACCTCCTTGGAGACGTAGCAGCAGGCCAGGCCCACCTCCTGCTCCAGGGCAGTGCGAGTTAGGTAGCTCGAGTCGATTAAGCGGAGGTCACAGTACTTGAGGGACCTGCATGGAAACCCTGGTGTCCGTTACCTGCCGGGCTCAGCCTTTCCTGGGGCCGGGGCCGTGCGGGCTGTGGGCTCCAGGCCAGCTGTGCCCCCGACCTCCACTCCTCTGTGCCTCACTGCGGCCAGGAGAGCAGAGTGGGCAGAAGGCACATCGCGCAGCATCAACCGAGGCTGCCGCCACTGCCACCCCGTCCGTGCACCCCGGACCCTTGCGGAGGGCAGAGCGGGTTAACAGACTTTGAAAACCCCGCTTTTCCTCCAGCCCCACCGGCACCGCTTTGGTGGCTCTTCCCGAACACTGCTCCCTCCTGTCCCGAGGCATGGGTGCCCCCTGCAGGGTTGGCAGCAGAGGGACACAGCCCTGCACAACACAGTCCTTGCTGCCCGCCAGCCAAGTGAAACAGGCCCACTCGGCCCAGCACTGACCACCAGCCCCGCGGCCACCACTGCGAGCCCGCCGCTCACTCAGGCCGTACCTGGGAAAGGTCTCTCCGAGCGGGTCCTTGCCGGTCAGGATCACGATGCACGGCAGCCCTTCGAGATCCTGGTACGTCCGTGGCGTCCACTCCTCCGGCTCGTTTCCCCGCCACGTCTGTAGAACGAGACCCACAGGACACCACGAAAACTTTTGAACTCCTTGTTCAAGCTTCCGCCTTTTCAGGGTGTGTGGGCACACGTGTGCTGACCGCTGCCTTAAAAAGCATTCAGGAAGCACGTCTAGGAGAACGTGGCCTTTAGTTTTGGATGGCAAAAGATAAAATAGGACACCCCGGTACACCTCATGCGCCATCCATACAGGCTAAGAAAGTGCCGCAGTCCCTACCAGGATCTGCCTCCGGTCCCTACGTTGCCTTCTTAGATAAGAACTTTAAAACGCCATCAAAACAGACATTTTCACCATGAAAATAATGAAATTAGCCACCTCTGATGGCTTTTCTTTTTCACTTTACTAACTTCTAAAATAACTGATAATGCTTGGCTTTGAGTCTCAGGAGTTTCTTCCAAGAAGGTTGAAAATACAGCCTGACTTGGTTGGGTCAAGGAAGGAAAAACCACCCTTGCTGGAGAGTAATTCCTTTTGCTCAGGGTTTCACAAAGAATCTACCAAGTGTCCGTTCCTCTCATCCAGTAACACACATGCACTCGGACACACGCATCTCCGGCCCTGTGGTCCCTGAGGGCCGGGCGGAGGACCAGGCCTTCTGCAAGTGCTCTGCCTCGGAGCTCCTCTTGCTCATCAGCCTTGAAAATATGACGAGGAGGGGCTGGGGATTTAGCTCAGTGGCAAAGCGCCTGCCTGGCAAGCGCAAGGTCGTGAGTTTGGTTCCCGGGACCGGAGAAAAACAAAAACAAAAAAAAAGAAAATATGACGAGGAAGAAAACTACCGGAAAGCTGCTCAAAAGTAAAGAGATCTTTTACAACTTTCTCTGTATTTTAGAATAGCAAAATTGATGGTCTCAAGTGGATAAAGTAGTTTCTACTGTGTCTCACAAGTATCCATCCAACTGTGCTTTACACTGGCTTTCTAGCAGGGCTTGCTGGATAATGCTTTAGGGAAGAAGGACTAAGAAGCAAGGCGGTAAGAAATGCACACAGTTCTGTTTTCGGATGGAGGGTGTTTGCCTGGCTAAGCACAACATGTGATAAAAAGAAACCCACCGGCCAGGAAGCAAACCTGCTGACGTCTATAACACCCCAAAGGGGGAAACCCAGCCTGGGTGAACAGGAAGGCCCCGCCTGTCCGCACCAGGCTCCCCTCTGCCTGCGCGCCGCACCTGCCCGAAACCCAAGCACACAGGCTTCCTCCGATCCAGGCAGCTCGGGTCCGCGCGGGATGAGGGAGGGCGCGCCCACCGTGCCGGAGACTTACTTTGAGGAGATGACGAAACACAGCTCACTTTTGCTCCTGGCCGGTCCGAGGTTGCCAACCCCCCCAGAGCCCCCTCCCCCTCCCCAGGTCTTCCGTGGACACGCCGGCCGCAGGGCCGATCGCTGCAGAGAGCGCGCACGGCCCTGGGCCAGCCCTGGGTTCCCGGTCGGAAGCAGTGCAAGATGGAGGAGCTCACAGGTTTCTGTTTAAGCCTGCGCCCCGCACAGCGCCGGGCAGCGCTTACAGCCACACCGCGGCGCCCCGCAGCGGGCCAGGCGAGGCGAGCGTGGCAGCACAGGGTTCGGCAGGACGGAGGGCCGCTCTGGCGCCTCCCCCCACCCTGAGCACACTCGGACCTAAGCCCGCCAGAGCCCCTCGGCCGGGCGACCCAGAGGCGGGCTCCCCACAGCCTTGATTCCCTCGCACACCGTGGGGAAAAGCCCGCCGCGACCCAGGGGTTTGGGGAAACGGGCTTCTGTGTGGTGTCTCACGCTCCTGCCCACGCTGGGGGAGGCAGAACCCCACTGGGGGTCGGGCTGGAGGCCGCTGTGCCAGGGCTCGCTCTCAGGCCCGCGGCGCCCGCCCTGGCCTCAGGGGCCAGCTGCGGGGGAGAAGCCCTGCCGGGCGGAAGAACACTGGGCCTGATTACGCCTCGGGACCAAGGCCCAGGGGAGCCTGCTCGGCGGCTGGTGCCTCGGGACGGAAGCGACACCGTCCTCGCCCTGGGGACCTGGGGCGGCCCCGCAACCCCGCGCAATGCACCCTCACGGCCGGGGCACTGGGAGTTCGCAGGGCGGGCTGGTTATTTGCCTTTCCAAGTTCCTCATCCTTAGCATTGTTAAATGGCCCAGGAGGGGCTCGGGAGTTGCACTGTGAGAGGCCTCAGGGGTTCCCTCCGCCTAGAAGCTCCTCTACAATTAAAAATTGGGAACATGGCTCTGACATGTGTTACCACGGCTACTAAATACAGGTGTTTCTAATTTGGGCAATTTTATTCCCGTTACTTGTCAAGCTAATTATTTTTCCACTTTAGGTTAATTTACATTAACTAATACAGTAACAAGCTTTACGTTTATAAAAATGATTTAGGAGCACCAAATAAAAATCAGGCTTCAGCTCTTAGACATCATATCGTCCAACTCTCTCATTTTGCAAATGGGAAACTACTTCGAATCTCTGAAGACTAGCGCACCTTTTTGTAAAATTTGTGCCAAACTCAATTTTTATTTTATTTTGGTGGTGCTAGGGGTGGAAGCCGGGGCCTTGTATGCGCTAGGAAAGCCTTCCGCCGCCAAGCCCAGAGCCACTCCCCAGAGCAGATTTCCCTGTCTCGCAGAAGGGTGCTGTTGCATCTCTGCATGCACCTGTTCTTCATGGCCGGGACAGAGCGGATTGCGCAAGGCCCCAGAAAGGCTGCGCCAGGCCTGCGCTAAAGGGATCGCTCAATCCATTCGCGCCTGGCAGGGAGGGGAGCGCACGCGGTCCCTGGCAGAGCAGAGGGGCAGGGAGGCCGCGGTCCCGCACTAGGTCCTCTCTTACATCTCAGTCCAGCCAAAGCCTGGAGCTGAGGGTCACAGGAAGTTCCCGAAGCTGCACGGCCTGCTGAGCAACCCACACGGGCGAGCTGCCAGTCACTCTCGGGGCGGACATCACACGGACACCGCACCGACTCTGGCCAGGAGTGCACAGAGGGCTAGGGTGGACGAAGAGCATTAGTGAGCTGAGGTGACTCCGAGGGGTACCCCACAGCGCGCCGAGAGCACTTACCTTTCCCCCTGAGAAAACAGTAGAGGGCTCGGCGCATGCCGAACAAGGTCGCTACCATGCGGTCTGATTAAGTCATCTTTTTTGCACGTGCGCAGGGAGACCAACTGCACGCACGGCCGCAGAGGCCGACAGCAGCGTTAGAAACTAGTTCCGGTTACGACGCAAAGACGGCCCCCAGCTGACACCGGCCCGGGCTCAGATTCACCCGTGTGCAAAAATCTACTCAACCGGGGCCGGGGGTGTAGCTCAGCGGCACAGCGCCTGCCTGGCAAGCGCGAGCTCCTGAGTTTGATGCCCGCCACTCAACTCAGCTCGGCCTCCGACCACCCGGGAACGAAGGGATTTGGGGGGATCTGCCCCGCTAACCTTTAATCGCGCCACGAAGTGCGTCGCCACGCTGAGCTCCGAGGCCGGGCTCCCCAGGACGATCTCGAAGCGATACTGCAGGCCCAGCTTGTCGCGCACCTCCTGCAGCCGCTCCTTGGCCAGCATGGCCAGCTGCACCGAGGGCACCCGGATCACGAGCATGTGTCCCCGGCCGCTCGCGCTCTTGCCCGGGGAGCTGATGAGGTCGTCCACGATGCTCAGCGTCTCGGGCGTGCTGTGGTCCCGCAGCGCCGCCACGGTGGTGAGCGCCATCAGCGCCTGCGCGTACTGCTGGATGAGCAGGTAGCAGCGCACGACCATGCTATGCAGCCGCGGGTACCTGCGGGGCACAGGAGTACAGGAGCCAGTGCCGCGGGGGCCGGGCGGGGGCCGGGCGTGAGCTCCGGGGGGCCTGCGGCCAGCTCTCGGATCCGCGATCGCCCGCAGAGACAGAGCTGCGGGGGCGCCGCGGCCAGCCTCCCCGGCCCTGAAGAGCGCAGCGGGGGTCTGCAGGGCCCCGCACTCCCCCAGCCCACGGCGACGCCGAGCGGCTCGGCTGGGCCACAGCCCTCGAGGGGGCCTTGGCTTAGGGGGATGGCACCGTGAGCCTGCCCTGTCGTGCCCGAGTGTGAGACACGAAAAGGGGACCGCGGCCTGAGGCAGCCCCGCAGGCAGCAGAACTGTCCCTTCCGGAGGATGGGTCTTGGTGCGGGAAGACGGCGCGGCCCGGAGAGCGCGCCCCCTGGTGGTGAGCGCTTCCCGCCCAGGACCGCGCTCAGCCCAGGCAGCCCGGGCCCCGCCTAGACTGCGGGATGAGAGGCTCGCCTCCTTCACACTGGCGGTTTAAAGAATTACAGAGCTAGAAGGAAATAAATCTCCCTCGCTGTACTGGGGACTAAAGCCAAGGCCTCCATCCTGAGTCACGGCTGCAGACCTTCTTAATTCTGACACAGGGTCTCACTAATTCACTAAATTGCCCAAGCTGGGCTGGAACTTGCAATCCTCCTGCCTCAGCCCCCGGGAGTGCTGGGATTACCTGACTTAAATCTCTCAGTTAGGTGCTTGCTGTTCCTTAGAAAGCCAGGCCTGAGGATGAGGTGGACGAAAAGGGCTGTGTCCTTTCTGGCCGCCGCTGGGCTCAAGGGGGATTTTGCCTTCGCCCTACTCCCAGGTTCCCTTCAAAGTACAAGTGCCCACAGCTTCACACAGAAAAGCTGTCGGTAAGTTGTTGGGGCCAAAGGGCTTCCAGAGGAGCCAGGACCACACACGCCCTGTCTCCCAGCCGCTCTGCTTCTCATCCCAGGCCTACACCTGGCAGAGGCAGAGCCCGGGCCGGGTTCATCCAGACCAGAGCCACCGTCTTCACACAGCAAAACGTTAGCAGCTTGGGGAAACAGCGAAGAAGGCTGCAGCTGCCTGGTGTGCTCGGGGAAGAACACGCTGGAGGAAGCAAGCCGGCAGAGAGCGTCTGTGTTGAAAGCTGGGCTTCTCTGTTTTTAGCTCGGCCGTGGAAAAATTCCAAGAATAAACAGTAATTTTGATCTACAGGCATTTAGATTCACATTCTGAAAGAGTTCTGAGTCGGGCGTGGTGGTGCATGCCTATAATCCCAGCACTTGGGAGGCTGAGGCAGGAAAATTGCATGAGTTTGAGGCCAACCGGGGCTACTTAGAGAGTTCAAGACCAGCCTGAACTACAAAGTGAGACCAGCTGGGACTAGAGCTCAGTGCCACAGTGCCTGCCTGGCAAGTGCAAAGTCCTGAGTTCAATTCTGGGTACCAAAAACCAAAACAAGAGCAGAGTTTTGAATTTAAAAGTGAACAGTTTCCTCAGTCTGTTATGTTTGCATGAAACTACAATTGCAGTTGTGTATAAGTATTACAAAAGTTGTAAACAGAAGCTGATGGGACCATACTATGAAACATAATTTCTAGCGGGGTGTGGTGGTGCACATCTATAAGTCCTTGCACTAGGGAAGCTGAGGCAGGAGGATTGCTGTGAGTTTGAGGCCACTATGAAGTACGGATCGAGACCCTATTTCCAAAGACCAGACAATGAATCAATGGATCAATGAAGTAAGATGAAGTTCTGCAACTCTAATGTTACCGGAGTGAAGTGTTCCGGGCTGGGGATGGAGCGAGTGGGTGGAAAACTTTTAAAAGAGAGAATCATGGATGAGTTTGGAAATTTAGGATCCATGTTCTAAGAGAACAATAATGGCACACTGTCAATTAAGACTTCTCAAATCTTACACATCTGCAAAAATAGCAAATCTCATTCCGAGCCTGCTCATTCCCTGCAGCATTCTAACCTGCCGGATGGGACGGACCCACTTGCCCTCGTTTTAATTTTTTTTGCGGGGTTACTAGGAATCGAACTCAGGACCTCATGCTTGCCAGGCAGGCGCTGCACCACTGAGCTAAATCCTTAGCCCCTCGTTTTAGTTTTCCCCACTTCTCTTAGCCAAATCGTAGGGCTGCTTGTTCAGTAGATGGCCCGCAATCAGCCGTGGCCAGGCTGGAGAACCGGCCCAAGGACACAACAGCCTGCCTCAGAGTGCAGCCTTGGCCCCTCCGTCCAGGCTGAGAAACAGCATACGGGGCGGGCCGGCTGTCAGGTTAGGAAATGCCTCCCCTCCTCAGGCCAGGATTTTCGGTCAGAGAAGGAAAAGCTGGGAATCTGATCCAGAGCTGAGCACAAAGAGGAGAAGTGTTCTTGGCCTCAGGCCGTAGGCTCAGGGTGAGGGGAAGGCCCTGCCTGCAGCCTTCCCGGCCCCAGTCCCTCCGGGTGAAGTTGGGTCACCTGAGGGTGAGGGTCGCGTGTGGGCCGCAGGGGAGTGGAGGGGACAGAAGGGCCAAGCAGGGGCAGGGAGGCCGTGCCAGGTGTGGGCGGCCTTAGTGAGCACAGGCCATGTCCACCGGCGGTCCCTTCGGTCTCGGGGGCCACGGAAACCCGCGGATGAGGTCATCCTAGGAAAGGCTATGTAGACCCGGCCTTTGGGTATCATCCGCATGGGCTCCATGCGACGGGGCCCCCAGATCTATCTGCACGTGCGGCTGGAAAACGGCGAGCCCGCGCTTACCTCTCCAGGAGCGTGCTCACCATCTTCTCGAAGGTCTCGTCGCACCGCAGCAGCGGGCTGGTGACGCCCCACTGCAGGGACCTGCTGTACTCGTTCAGGCCGAAGTACAGCTTCTCCCCGCAGCCCGCGTCCTCCTGCGGCAGACGAAAGCAGAGCGCTGAGCGCCAGCCCGGCTGCTGGGAAGCCCGTGCTCCTTCCCCGCGCACTCCGGGCGGACCTCCGCACGCCTGGCGGCCAGCGGCAGCTATGCGGACGGCTAGTTTGCTTTGCTTTTGTTCAGACACACAAGGGCTCCGACCCCTCTCTTGGGTGCCGGCCGGATGCGGCTCTCTTCTGGCCCCAAGTTCCCCACGGGACCCTCCGGAGAGAAGCGCAAAAGCTCCGCCGTGACACAAAACCTGCCTGCCCTCACTTGGTGCCGGTCATGTGTACAAGAAGCTCATTCGTTTGCGAACAAAATTTAGTTACAGTGGAAACAGACACACCCTGCTGCCTTCTCAGAGAACATAAATCTGCCCTTCTCACCGACTTCGCCCCACCAGGACAATGCGTGGCTACGCTAGGTGTCACACCGACGCCCTCTGAGCGTCCCCACAGCTGTGACAAGCTGCCTGTCCCTAAGCAGCCCCAGAACAGTGTCAACTTTCATAGTTTTATTTGGGGCCTTCTTGCCTCTGTCCTACATTAGATCGCTGCAGGAATTCTCGTCATGCTGCGCATGTGCTTTAATCCCCTTTCCCTATTAGTGTATTGATATACTCTTTCAACATGCCCTAGTTTATTTTATAACCTAGTTTTACAAACCGTGCTAACACAAAGATAGATTAGGCAAACAGAGGAAGAGAAAGGTTAAAGAAATCAGCCCGGGCAGTGTGTGGCACAGCTGGGCCACGCAAGCCATCGCGGGAGGAAAATCCCTGGGCCGGTTCCCTCCCCATCAGGCCGGAGCTCAGCACTCGGCCAGCTGTGTCTCGGTGCCGCCGCCCTCTTGTCCTTGGCCCCCGTCCCCGGGGACGTGGGAACCCTCCCGCACGCCCAGTCCTCTTCCTGACGCAGCACGACAGCCTGCTAGGCAGGACGCGCCCCGGCCTCCTTGCGCCTCTGTTCTTAGTAAAGTGATGGCCCAGGTGAGCAGGTGGAGCGCTCGGGGGGCTCAAAACGGGCATCGGAAGCCAGCAGCCTCCCTGCCCTGCCGTGCTCAGAACCCAGAGTGCCTGGAGCGTTTGTAACACTGCACAAGCAGCAGCGGGCGTGAACGGAGCCGTCGCACGGCAGAAGCTAGGACCCTCGAGCGCTTTCACGGTGAAGACACGTTTCAGTGCCTCAGCCACGGCATTTTATTGACTTGGTGTTTGTGGGGGGTGTCCCTTCCTATAATGAAATAATACCCGTCCCCCCAACCCTGTCTCCTCAGACATCCCCCTGCAGCTCTTCCCGGCCTTCGGTGCCAGTTCTGCCTTTCTTCCCAACGCTCCCTCCTGACACCGAGGACTCCTGGGCCAAACCCAGAGCATTTGCTCGCTGGTCCTTGGCCTCACTCCTCCTAGCTGTTCTCTTCATCAATTTCCTCCACGACTTTCTCCGCACCAGCTGCTCCGGCTGTCACAGCTTTTGAAAAAATACCCAGATCCACACGGTGCGCCCTCCCATCCGCGTTCCCGCCAGCAAGCGGCCGGGCCCGCTCGTCAGTCGCACCTGCCCGTCCCACGTCACTCTTCCCCTCGACGTCCTTTTCTCCAACTAACGCGTCATCTCAAAAGTAATTCTGACTCCCACTTCCCTCACATAAACAAGTCCTGGAAAACTTGCCATTTTCCGTTTTGCCTATGGCTGACTGCTGTTCAGAGTCAAGTATTGTTCATTCGGGCGCAAACGGTCAGAAACGCCAAGGCCGCGGCTCCTCTCTCCGGCCGAATGGACGCCCTTTGATTGCAGCCCCATCCGTGGGCACCCAGCGCCCGCAGCCTCACCCGAGAACAGGAACACGCTCGCGTTTCTGGAGGCGGCGCTTGTGTCACCGCAGCACCCTGCAGCCAGTGCACAGGCTGCATGTGTTGTGTGCGTGTGTGAATGTTGTGTGGCCCAGGAAAGATACAGACAAAGCTGACAAACATAATGCTGCGCAAGAGGCCAGGCACAAAAAACCAAAAGCGCGAACTGCACGGCTCCGTGTGAAGGAAGTCCAGAGCTGGGCGAAACTGTCGTAGGAGGCGAGCACTGCGCCAGCCTCCGGGGCGCCCGGGTCGGGCACAGGACTCCGGGTGCTGGTCCTGTACTTTTACTTGATCTGGGTGCTGGTTTCAGGGGTGTATTCAGTTTGTGAGAACACACTAAGCTGCACATTTACACTGTTAATATAAAAAGTAAAGAAATCGATGCAGTCTAATGATACTGTGCCCCAGACAGAGGACCCCCTTCCTGGCCGTGTAATGTGTGCAAACTCCGGCCGGTGCTCCCAGCCTCTGCATCCCGCCAAGTGCCCGCTGCGAGCGGCCCGCTGTCCCTCCCTGCCCGCTCCGACCCCTGCCAGCCGAGCGTCTGTGTCCCCCTTGTGCTCTGACCAGGGCCACCCTGGGGTGCGGTCCTCCACGGAGCCTCTCGGGTGCTCTCGGGTGCGGAGACGTCGCGGTATAGAGATGCATTCGCCCTCTCGGTTCTCTGTGGGTTGTCTGAGAGATGCAGCCTGAGGCCACAGAACTGGACGGTGTTTCCTGGCACCCTCTCTTCTCCCGTGATTCCTCCTTAGGACACTGGCTTTGGGGTGACCAGGGGCGGCGAACTCTCAGGAGCTTGTCTCCAACACGCAGAAAGCAACAGAACAGTTTTTCCTGTTCTCTGGGTGGACCTCAATTCCACGGGGATGATTTTAAATCTTCTGTTACAGAAGAGTATAACTCCCTGCCCCTCAGTTACTTTGAGTAAATCCCGGAATCTTCTCTTTCATCCATATGTATTCTACTAGATTATCTCTAAAATAAAATTTTTTCCTAAAAATATAACATATCATCTTCCTACCTAAGAAGTTAACCATAATCATAGGAATGCCTTTCTTTTTCTTTTGGTACCAGGAATCAAACTCAGGACCTTGTGCTTGCCAGGCAGGTGCTGATGCCGCCGAGCTCTATCCCCAGCCAGGAATGCCTCTGTAGGACAATTACTTTGCGTCTGTTTCTCTATTATTTCAGACAGGAGAAAATGAAGGGCAGGAGCTATTGGGCCTTCTTCCTGCTGCTGCTGTGTGGGGTGACCCCCTCTGGGAAAGACTGAACGAACAAGGTAGGTTAGGGTGTCTTCCTGTACCCCCCAGTATACGGGAGCATCACACTGGATTTAAAAACAGATAAAAATTTGTGTGATTGACATAAGAACTGCAGGCATTTCTGGCATGCAGTGTGACGCACGCAGGCCCCGAAGCTCAGGCAGATGGCCCAGCTGCGCATCACACACACACTTCTTGGTGCTGGAATATCCAAAATCCTCTCCACGAGCTATTTTGGAGTATTCAGCTAATGTCCTCCTCATTATCCTGCGGTGCTGCAGAACACTGGGAGTTCCTCCTCCTTCCTCCTCAGCTGCTCCTCTGTACCCCTTAATCCTGCTGCTTCTCCGCGCAGCTTTCCCAGGCCCTGGTAACCGTGATTCACGCTGCGCTGCCTGGAGGTCAGGCTTCTAGCTTTCACCCGTGAGTGAGAACAGGCAGCGTTTCTCACTGTGCGCTGGCTCATGTCCCGTAACAGAGGCGTCCGCTTCCACCCGCCCCGCTGCCCGCGATGGGATTTCACGCCTTTCTGCGGCTAGGCACGTTCCACAGCACGTGTGCATTTCTGTTCCACAGCGTGTGTGCATTGCATGCCCTTTGTTCGTCGGCCAACAGGACGCTTGGGTTGGATCCATTCCTCGGCGGTTGGGAACATGGCTGAGCCAACACGCGTGTGCACGAGTCTCACGGACACACTGGTTTCATCATCTCTGACCACATTTATAAAGGACGCCCCCCCACCACGCACACACCTGTTCCGCCCGCTGCCAAGCCCAGCCCGCATCCCAGCAGCCCACGGCCTCCCAGCTCCGCCCTCTCGCCCGACAGAGCTGGCGTGGAGGAGACCCCGGCATGGCAAAAGCCCAGAGCCACCTCCCGGGGCCTCGAGCCGGGGACAGCTCCCGTGTGGGGGACTGAACTGCTGACTGCCGGCGCAAACCGGCTCCAACCGAGCGCAGGGCGCTCAGCCGCCTCCTAGCAGAGTCAAGGGTCCTGGGGGAGAGAGAAATAGGGCTCGTGCGCAAGACGCATCTACGTCTGTTACTCAAATACACCTACCTCTCAGTGTCCCATGTGTTCAATATTTTTAGACTAAGGATATGTAGTCATTAATATTATGGGTAATATTAATGCTTAATAGCTGCTCATTAACATTGTAGTACTGGGGATTAAACCCAGAGCCTCTGCACTGAGCTACATCCCCAGCTCTTTGTATTTTTTATCTTGAAACAGGGTCAGTTTATCTTGAAACAGGCTAGGCTTGAATTTGTCATCTTCCCGCCTCAGCCTCCCAGAGCGCTGGGATTATAGGCATGTGCCACCATGCCCAGCATAATCTTTATTATTTTTATGAAATTATTTTTTTTTTATGGTGTATTTAGCTTAGAGCTAACAGGTTGCAGAAAATATTTTTGAGGTGTTAGGGACCGGCATCAAAGAACACGGAGACCTGGATGGCGGCTCCCAACACAGCCGGCACATGTTCCGAGTTCTTCCAGTGACAGGCACGCCACGCTGCGGTCAGCCTCGAGAACTGCCTGAAAGGAGAAATCCCGCCGCTGGAGGGACTGGCAGTAATTACGGTGACACAGCTCAGTCAGACTTCAACCTGACGGAGGCCAACCAAGAGGACAAGAAAATTTGTAGGTCTCAGAGTGAAATTAATCCTTCAGAAGCACCAAGTTAAATCCAGAAGATTGATGACGCTTTTGACATCACATTAAAAAACTATAGAGGACAGATAAATTTCTACCTGCATGACACTTATGAAGAATTTCTCTACGACACTGTTCATTGGTTTTTAGTCTCACAATGGTTGCAATCAGCAGGGCACGGCAGGAAGCTTGCAGTCCAGCTACTCAGGAGACTGAGGCAGGAGGATCTCCTGAACCCAGAAATTCAAGACCAGGCTGTATAATATAGCAAGGTTCCACGTAAACTATGACCAAATGGGACTTTTAGAAGATTTGAACTCTTGTGCTCTGTATTTTAGACCGGGAGCAGAGGCAGCGCCGAGTGTCTGCCAAGGGCCTCGGGGACTCACCGTGGGGTCCAGCTGTATCCAGTGTACCTCGTTGCTGGCGCTGATGCGGGACTGCTGGGTCTGCAGGGTGTACGGGAAGGAGCTGACCTGAAGCACCAGGAGGTTGAAAGCTTCCAGGACTTCTCTGCAGTTGATGACTCTGTCCGCCAGGCCGTGGCTGGGCTCCCCGTGGGACAGGGATCCCGAAATGACGCTGCAGGGGCATCGAAAGTCTCGTTAGTACCGCCCCCTTTCCTAACTGGGCGCAGACGCGCAAGCTGAAGTGGAGATGGTGTCTCAGTTGTTCCGTTTCTCGCTTCTCTGAATTAGCAGTAGAGCAAAATGCGTTTGGAAGACAAAAATTTTATGCTCTTTCATAACCTTTATCTGCCAGATTTTGGGGATTTTCTTCCCTTTCTCCTTTGAGTTATGGGGGGGCAGGGCAGAGTTGGTGGTGGTGGGGTGCTTGCTGTGGAAGCTCGCCTGGAGCAGGGAGGTCTCCGGCAACAAACACATAGTGGAGGGGCTGGAGATTTAGCTCACCGGCACAGCGCCTGCCTGGCAAGCGCAAGG